TAAAAGGCCCATTTGTCAAATCGAACAGATGAAACTGACAGAAGGAAAGAAGGCCATCAATGAAGGCCTCTAGTACAATGAGGAGATTGAACGTTTCAAGAAAGCAACTTCATAATACAATTATTGGTAAAATTCTATTGGTGAAAGTGGTGAATGTGAAGATTTTTTGGACTATGATGCCCCAGATTTAGAATGATGAAAACGTTGAAATTGAACGGGTAAGTAGGAATATATTCTTATGCTATTTTAAGAACACCAAGGATAAAGAAAAAAAATTTCCGGGACGACCCAAGGGTAACGGTAGATTATTTCAATTACGCATATTTTTTTAATTTACTTTCACAACTCATTTTTCGCTTGTTTTCAATAGAACAAGAGACGCCCTCAAGGAATAGCTCGATTAGCAAGGACTTTGGATCTCTTTATCATATGGGCTTCAAAGTCTTAATTCAAATCGTCCGAATATCAAAAACTTTGATGTCTCTAACGTTTAGGCCTTAGGATGGGTGCAACTGCCCTTGAGTATAGGAGACCAAAGTTTTAGCTCGCCATTACAACAACAAAAAAACAAAAAGTAATAAGATTATGGCTGCTGCTTAGCAAATATACCCGCGAGACCCAATCCTCGCGGAGATCCAACCCGATTGGATCGGAGAATCTCTTATTTGACCAGGGACGAGATCAAATCGAGGATCCTAGTCAGAGTTCCCATTCCATTTAATTTTTATTATTTTTTATATTTTTATGTAATAATAATAATATATTAATTTTTATAAATAATTAAAAAAAATTTATAAAAAAACCAAGTCTAATAGAATAACCCATTTAGCAAATTTCCTTAAGACAACTTGTTATATTAAATAGTGACTTGAAAAATGGCTAAAAGTATCTAGTATCATAACAATCGCTACCATGAGTTCTAGTCTAACACTAAAATTTAATGTTGACAAATATACCCTCCTATCTMCTATCAAAAGTATTGTGCAATGATACATTTTGTTTGAGATGAATATACCCTTTAAACAAAAAATATCTTGATTTTAGGAAATCTGTAACCAACTTTTTTAGGTGGATAATAGTTTTAGGATCACCAACATAATAAGTATTTAAAAAAATACCTTGAGATGATTTTGATTTTATTCTTTAAAATCTTAAATCCATACAAAAATTAAAAAAAAAGAAACCTAAACTATCAACTATAAATTTAATGAAGATTTAATTTGGATGAAGTTTGAGGGTTGGCTAAATAATCGTATCATGTCTTATGTTGTTGACATTTGCTAGTGGGTATATCATGGGTATATGCTCCTTATTACAAAGTCTTTGTCGAGTTTGCAATCATGCGTTTGCATGTCTTAAGTGACAATCATATTTTTGCTTCCTCTGTATATGGAATTATCCACGGGATCTGTATCCACAACTATACATGTTAAGAACGTAGATAATAGTTTTAGGAGATCACCGATCTATGCATAATCAATATTTATAAAAAAAATAACTTGAAGATCATTTTGATTTTATTCTTTAAAACCTTATATTCATAAAATATATATATATACAAAACCTAAAATATGAACTATAAACTTAATGAAGATTTAATTTGGATGAAGTTTGATAGTTTTTGAAATATAGGAGTAAGTATATCTGGAGACTAAATAATCATACCGTGTCTTATGTTGAAGATGTTTACTGGTGCGTCTAGCACGAGTATATGCTTCCCATTACAAAGTCTTTAATGAGTTTGCAATTGTACGTCTACATATTTTGGTATATAGAACTATGTACGGGGTCTGTATCCACAACTATACAATAACTTTAGGGCTCTAGGGCAGATACAACATATGTCATTCGGACTCTGTATATAGAATTATTCTCATTTCCCTTTCTCTATACGAATCTTCTCATTCTTCCCTTCCCTGAAGAATGTGTTTGCTTGTGCATCTAGAAAACGGGTATGTGCTTCCCCTTACAGAGTCTCTGTTGAGTTTAAAGGCTGTCACACTCTGACTTCTTCTAGTCTGAAAAAGATGACTCTCTTTTGACGGCTGTTGTACTTATAAATCTCATTGTCTTTTCCAATCATCTTCTCCATCTTCTACTTCTTTCTCTCAACTATCAACAATTATATTACCTTAAATATCCTCCAATGTTTGCTTATAAATTTTGCAAATTAGGGCTCAAATGCGCAGATTAAAATGAGAATCAAATTGCACAAGTCGCACAACCGAAGAATCAAGCTAGGGCAGACGAACGAATGTGACGACAAACGGTTTGGATGACATATTTTATGGCAAGAAACCATCATCAAGGAGAAGAAGAAATTCTTTAGTTATTCTATTGTTGAATTGAATTCTTCTTATAATCCGAATGCTTATTAGATGAATTTCGATCACTGAATCAGAGGCTCAATCTGTAAGTCATTCTCTACTCGATTTGTTGATCCCTCCATGTTTTGAGGAACTTGAGATGGTTAGGTTGACAAAGAATTAGTTAGATTTATTTTGTAATTTAATTAGTTTACAGTTATATGGAGGATTTAATATGATTTTTAGTTACTTTGAAACATATTCAAATTAGTTTGATTACCATTTATGTAGGTAGATATTTTAAGGATTCACAACGGCCGGGTAAATTTGACAAATGATGCAGTGACAGTTCCCGTAAACCTAGGGACAACAGATGTGGGTTTAGGTAAATATGAAAATTTACCAGTCCATAATTTTCGAAAATATTGATTTGGTCATTTTTTAAAATTAAAAAACCTATGACCATTTTTCGTTAGCATGTTGTGGATGTAGCTATTACATAGGATTTCCCAAATATATATTTTTTTTTGGATTACTACATAGATAGCCTATTTAGAGATTATAATTGCGTAAAAGGATTCAATGTACAAAATTTACACTTTCGTTAACCATGTTTAAGATGGTACCCATCAATAATTTAACTTTATATTCTTCTTTATTTATACCTGAATATTAATAAATTTATGAAAATCAAAATGGTTTATTTGGTAGGGTAGATTTTAAATCCCTTATTTTATGCCCATTTACACCTTCCAAAAATAAAAATACCCAAATAATCCTATCAAAATCCCCAAAAATCTCTTCTTCTTTCGTCAGCAGTTTCAAAAAAAAATTCCTTCGATTTATCGTTCTTCCACTCGTTTCTTCTTTCACCGATTTCTCCTTCTTCCCCAAACACCATTCTTTCCGATCGTTTTCTCCGTTCATTGTCCTGTAACAGTCCGCAAACCATCGTGTGAAGCCATTCCGTTCTCGTTGCCGGCCGTTAACTCAGTTTATCCCATAGCAAACCGTGCAGTCCATAGCAGTTTGTAGAAGACCGGTTTCTCCATTCTCGTCGTCGTACTCCCGTCAAAGTGAAGGTTTATTTAGTCTTCGATTTTGGTTACTCCGTTAAAAAAGAATCTAGGATTTCATAAGGGTATATTTTACATACATTGTCCATACCCAATATAAATAGTCCATATTGAGAAAGATTCAAATATGATATGAGTGGTGTGAAATTTAGGTGTGAATTCTTCTATATATATGCGGATATAATATATATCTACAACTAAGTACCATTTTGGTAGTAGAACTCAATAGTTGGATATATTTTATATTTAGCATATAGGTTTATCTTGTAATTGTATTGGATTGGATTGCATTTGTTAAATGTTAATAACAGCAATTCATAATAATGAAGCATGTGCTAGGGTGTCTAAATTGATAGAATAGGTTAATGTTATATGCGGATATAATATATATCTATACTGTATAAGTTTATATGAGATTGAAACTTCAATAGTTAAAGATTAAATCCGGATATATTTTATATCTATTATTAAATACCAAATTCCAAGATACAAAAGAAAATAATAATAATAATAATAAAATAAAATATATTCTATCCGGATAATATTAAGCAGCAAAGAACTTTTTCTCACCAAAAAAAAACAGGAATACACATTGAATGCGTAATCTATCCGTAATCAAAAAAGTGTTTGTGATTGTTCCAAAAGAAATGAATCTTCATAAATTTTTCATTGTAAATGGGAAATACTTATACAAATAAAAATAAAAAATATGGGGTAGATAAAACAGTCTTCTTGGCTAGTCAAACATGGACTGGTTCATAGATCTTTGGGTTTCGATTACCAAGGAATCCGTAAATATTCCATTCCAAAAAGAGAAATTCGAAACAATTGCGATTTTTTTGGAGATTGGATGTAGTTACTAATTCATGATTTGGCATGTACAGAATGAAAACTCAGGAATTTAAATATTTTAGATTGCAACAAAAAAAATTAACAATAATAAATATAAATGCAATAAATAAGGACAAAATCGATATTATAAAAAAAATCCAACCTGCAAAATCTAAAAGTGTAAAATTGGAACACTTTGGACATTTATAAAAATAAGTTTTTAAAACAATCCTTCCAAACATTAACTATTTTTTTTCTTTCTTTCTGGTGCTGGTAAGCCCAATAATACAGCCCTACAATATTAATAATTCCTTTTCAAACAAACAAAATTAAAAGAAAAAATTCGAGACACGGAGGTGGGGATGGAGAAAATCTCCAACGGGACAGGATGGGGTTGGCCCCCCGACCCTGCCCCGTTGCCATCCCTGCTGCTACCAACCTCTTGATTCAGTAGAAGTTGATGGAACAGAACAGTGAACCAATGGTCGAGATTGAAAAGCAGCCCCGCAGATAACAATAAAATTTCTAAGTTGGAATATTCGAGATTCAGAGCTCTATGCCCTGTACAAATATTGGACCGTTATCTTATAACTTTGAAATTCTTCATGAACTGCTCTTATCACACTAAAATTCCTTACCTGTGTTTTTCGAGGAAGATGTGATCTACTAAAAACAAAGAAACAGGAAGAACTGACTGGACTCAAATGAAATAGAAATATCAAGTGATTTCACCTCAAAGCGAATCAAAATGAGAACGTAAATCACACACAAACACAGCTACGAGCTATTTGAAAGACAGCAAAAAATCAACACATCAAAATTTATATTAACATACATCTGCAAAAAGAAAAAAGAAAAAAAGGTCCCTATAACTAAAGTAAGCTTCAAATCTAAGGCATCTAAAGTTAGCTTTCAAGCATTCAAAAAATTCAATGAATCAATGTATCTCATATCTTCTCTACCTGAACCAATTCAGTTATGCATTCGCGACTGGCTCGGTTTCTTTAAACTACCTAAAATTCCATCAATCAGCTTTTCCTTGTCATTTTCATCCGTGTCTGAGACAAAAGAATAGGTCTTTTGGTGTCTTTGCTTTTTACCAAAGCTTTCTGCACTTCTTTCACTTTTGGCAGATAAACTAGAAAAGCTTCAAACTACTTTCCGAACAATCGATCGTCTCGTTAGCATTTTCCAACTCGTCTTTCCTTCTATTTTCTTCCTTGCTGCTATACCAAGAATCAAGGATTTGTAACAATGAGCTTTCTTCCTCGTTTGTTGATCTCCATGTAGTAGTAGGACAAGACTCTCCATCAGATTCTGTTAATTCATCCTCTGAAACGACAGGTTTGTAATCAAAATTTGGTCGCTTCTTGGTTGCTTCCACCGCTTCACTACTCGTCGATTCTTCTTCATTTCTGCTGCAACTTGTGCAGGCTGGACCTAATTCTTCCCACGTCGACTCAAAATCATCATCCTTTCTATGCGGGTTAGATGATTCATTATCAGAGTTTGCTGCAGCATGGGACGACTTCTTTTCCGGATCACTGGGAAGAACAGTTTCCAGGTTTGAAACGTTTGGGGCCTTACTGGTGGGAACTATATTGGTGGATGCTATTGTCACTCCAGGAATTATCTGTAGCAAGGATGCCAACTTTTGGTAACCAAGCTTCTGAAAATCAAGATGATACCCGTACTTCTCGACAAACAGTCTTTTAAAGCCCCCCATATTGTATCCTTTTGGGTGCTCGCTCAAGATCTCGTCCACTAGCTTTTGACAATCGCCTAATATCTCAGTTCTTGTCCTCTCCAGAAGCTTGGTTTCGGTCATACTTGTAGAAACTCCAACTTGGGGAATGTTTTCATTTTTCTTATCTGAATCTGAATCTGAATCATGTTCTTGTGGTCCATGCAAGGTGCGCTTTGACCCTTTGTTAAGAAAGATTGATGTCAGCCCGTTCGAATGGTGCACGGGTTTCGTGCAAGAGCTTTTACCAGCAGTCGGAAGAGTGAGCTTAAAAGGACTTGTTTCAGAGGGGCATTCCTCGACCCATTTCTTATCTGATATTAAGAGTTCCAAAAAGTCGAGGAGATCATTATTGCTCAGAGATTTAAGAGCTGAAGGTCCTTCCTCAAGGAGATTTTGAGCCATCTCCAACCTGAAGCAAGTTCAGAGCAGAAAACAGAATTACAAATTGTAAATTATACAATATCATACACAGGCATAAAACAATCATATGAATAAAGGCTGCAATTAATTACAACCAAACCAAGTATTTCATAAGCTTGATCTATACCACGCATTTGAGATTGAAAATTTCTCCTAAAAAACTTAAATTTTGGCAAGCCATAATGAGCAGAACCCCAATAGTTATATTGACAATACAGAGAGTATATGGAGACACAAAACGAAACAATGTTGAACCTGGTTTTCGACCGAGAAACGAGCTCAACTCCGTTAGGTGTTTCCATAAAGGATTGCATCTCCTGCCAAAAAGAATTTCTGGAAAGAAGTAAATGTTTGCCAGAATGAGTCCTTAACGGGTTCTGTTCATAGCATTCCTCACTGACTTTGCCATTGTTCGTGTCATTTCTCCAAAAATTGAACAATTTTCTAATGCTACCAAGTAATCCTGGATTAGAACTAGATTTATTGTCATATAAACTAGAAACTATAGCTGTTTTCTGAAGCAACTCGCGATCAGCTAAACTCACATCTTGAGTCATTGGCTTCACACTTTTTCCTTCAGTTTTCGGCTTAGGAGCATCATCCGATGTAGAACATTTTCCAGAAATATAATGACTTCCATTCTCAGAAGAATTGTGTTCATAACTGCCTAAAAACCTTTTCCATATTCTTCGGAAAAATCCTGACTCGCCCTCAGAATGTTGTGCAATTGAAGAGGGCATATTACTGTCACCTTCAACTCTACTAGTCTGCTTCGAATCTTCTACAACTATTGATGGTTTAGCTTCCATAGCTTCACCAATAGACATTCCCAATTCAGAAGACTGTTCCACCTTCATTGGTCTGTCTTCGGCATTTTGTTCAGGAACACTCGTTCCTTCTATGGAGGAACCATTATTGTTTAACTTTGCTATCACATTAGGCTGCTGATCTTCAGTGTCATTACCAGATATACCTCTACTCGACTCGAATGGCTCTATGGCCCTTGGAGTCGCAAGACGCACAATACATTGGCCATCACTATTTGTTCGAAGCTTTATGTGCGGCACCGACAAAAGAAACTGCGCAAACTTTTTGATAGATATATTACTCATTCTCAATTCTGAGCGGAGTTTTGTAATGGGGATTCCTTTGGGATACAATTTCATAATGCAACGTATTTGCTTAATGACTGTCTTTGAAATGGGGTGCGCATTTGGATCTGAACTGGGCTCAGAAACCTCGTCAACTCGTGAAGAAGACGGTTGCTCGTTAATTCGAAATGGATCTTCGAGAGGAACATTGTAATGGCCATACCAAGAACCATAAGGACCATCGGGTGGTTGATTCAAATGCTTCCCGACTAGATTTTCCCCTCGAATCAAAGTATTCCAATGCCACATGATGCTTGCAGCACTACATAAAACACTGGGAGCACTTGCAGGGCTTGCTAGCAACACATTGTAATTGTTCATTCTTAAGCGGTGTAAAGTGTTGGCAAAGTCCCTGTCACCAGAGATTAGAAATATATGCGCTGGTGGAGGATTTTGAGAAACCCAATACATAAGATCTAAAAGAAAAGACCTATCAGCACTGTTTTTCCCACCTACATTGAAAAAATATTACTAAGAGGTGAGAATTATCTAAAATATATACCAATAACAAATAAATTACAAATTTTCAAGTAGATTGCATCATTAACCCCTAAAAAAGTTTTGAAAAATTTTGCTACAGCCAGAATATACAGTTGTGCAGCAGATTTTAAGAGGTGGAATTTGCCAATATTCAATGTGTTTTAGAGTACCAAAAAGGCAAGAAAAATAATTGCTATGAATATTTGAACCGTCTGATGCAATGTTTAAGGTTAAAATCACATTAATTTAACATTTTACAGGAACAAGATGTCACTAAAAGACAACTCTAGAGATTTCCTTCAACAAGAAAAAAAATGGCAGGGGGCAAAGCTAAATTCCTTTTCTCTTAAGTTATCTACTCTGTTTTCTTTTCTTTTCTTTTTTTCCTTTTCTGTATCTATTTTTTTCTTCTTTTTCAGATTTTTCCTCTGTTTTTGTTGCTATTTTTTCTATATTCCTCCTCTATTTCCCTAATATTATAGGTTTCTTTTCAGTCTCCTTTTCCCCCCTTTCTAATTCCATATATATATATATATCTTTTATTGGAAACAAAACTTTTCATTAAGATAAATGAAAATACTAAGCCCAGAAGGAGGAACCCTGCCTATAGGCTTCCAATCCAAAAGAATAAAGCCTAACTGATAATTACAAAATAGCTTCGAAACAGAACCCCACAAAGAAACATTCAGATCCCAAACCAACTCTTCATCTCTCTCCACCCCTAAAGATTGTATCGTTCCACGAACTTTTCAACAAATATTACTCCAACCACAATTGTACAAATTCCTTAAAACTCTAATATTAGGCAAGATTTTACGTTCTCATGCTTTCCCTATGCCTCATATTGCCTCGAGACCGTTTTAAGCCTTTTAAGATGTTGCTTTTGATGAAAGGATACAACTTTGGCAACATATTTAACGTTATATACTCAAACTATTCAATACTAATATAGTTTTCCACGCATAAAGCAAATCTTTAAGTAAAACTATAGTTGCACATCTTGATCATACAAAAGAATAGGTTACCACACATTTGAGATGAGAAACTAGTTCCAACATTCTAGCACATTAAAAAGGGTAACAATTTCATTTGATAGAAATCCAAAACTAAAGCTGAACTTAACAAAATCCAATTCTCTATTCAAATTCAGGATTCATCTATTCAATATAACTTCATAACATATTATTTCTATTCCAGAACCAACAATTTGGTATTAAAAGAAATGGGAAAGACAAAAGATCACTAGATTGGAGAAGTAACCTTGAGGAATGTGGGTAAGGCTAATCCCAGTAGATGAGAGTGCCTCCTGGTTCGCTCTAGAAAGCTGAAAAATGTCACCAAAAGCAGTAATATGAACTGGACCTTTGATGCCATTGGCCCTGACAGCAGCAGTAATCAAATGTGCGGCTTTGAAGACGTTCGCGCCCACGGGTACATTGCAGTTCTCGAAGTCCCACCAGACTGAAACCTTCACGTTCCGAGACTCTTCGTCGCGCCGTCTCGAAGAAGATGAGGAATGGAAAGAGTAATTGGTGGAAGAATAAGCAGTAGAAAATTGAGAGAAGTGGAGCAGGAGGGCGCGTGGGGGAAAAGAAGCAGAGGAAATGGAGAACGTTCCCAACGAGAACAGCCTCATCGGAGAC